GCAGAGCCCAGCGACTTCCTCCCCGGGCCGTACCTTTACACACAAGCCCAACACGCACACTAGTCTTTCCATGGCTACAAATACATGTCTAACCTCCTGACAGCATCTGTCACTTCCAAGATCCCTCCCCTTTCCAGACAGCCTTTCTGCCCTCTTCCCCTCCAATGCTTTGTGCACAAGGGAGTCACTTTCTGGCATACCTTCGTTTGCTGTTCATGCTTCCCACTTTGGACCACAAATCCGTCTCTGGGTTGTAAACTTCCACCGTACTCAGCCGCAACTGGCCGTCGTAGCCACCGATGGCATACAAGAGTCCATTCACCACCGCGACACCCACTCGGCTGCGCGCCGTCGTCATTGGCTGGCACTTCTCCCAGTGATTGGCAATGGGGTCGAAGACTTCCACGACATTCAGTGAATCACCTGCATAAAAATGTGCTACTCAAATTAAAAAGTGGCATGTGTTTCTCAGAGCCTCTGCTGAACGGAGGCTGGAGCAAAGCCGTCAATTGGTTTCCAAGAAGTCCTTCCACATGTGGATAAGCAACACGGATACATGGGTTCTGCTTGAAACTTCAGGGGCAAAACTTATGCCCAGTGTCATATGGCCCTTGCCCAGACCCTGCTGCTGACAGGAGGCAGCAGAGAAGGGAATTCTGTTCTCAGGCTAAGGAAGCACATTGAGCTTCTCAGTGATTCCTGCTCCAGCCGTAGGGGTGATGTGGCCACCCCAGCCCTTGAGCAACTCCATTCCTACATGAAGGTCAACTACAACAGGAACAGCTCCATCAGCCAACTGGACTATTTCTACCTTGTCCTAGTGGAAAACTGCTGATTGTAGAGGGAAACCCTGCCTCACAATCCCAACTACTTGCAGACTCCTTCAGTTCTGCCTGCAGGTGGTGAAATGCCCAGAGGTGGTGGCAGGCTCTGGGGTTAATGGGCAATAACGATGGACTCCATTGACACCCTGGAATCAAAACTTCACGCATGCCAGCCTGGCTGACTTCAGCCTTCAACAAGAGGGCACACAGGTAGGTGAGCCTTAGGAGGCAGCTTTGTAGACAGGACATGCCAAGCAGATCTCAGCAGAGCACTGTATGGCACATACCTCGTTTTAAACGTCTACTGTAAATGTGTTATGGGTTTAAGCAGGTCAGCAGCTGCCCTTTGGAAGGGCTGCGATTAACAACATTTCAGCTATCCCTTTCATCACATTCTTTGTTCCCACACCAAAGCCAGACTAGGTAAGGGAGAGGGGTTTTGTGGTCAAAGTATAACTGAAAAGTTTGTTAGGGAAATGAGCACAGGCTTTACTGCACAGGGACCACTTCTCTGAAACCTCTGCATCGTTTTACCTGTTTCCTGCTTGGTTGCATCAATGCTGCCAATACATTGATTTTATTGTTGCCTTCAGGGTTCTCCCAATTTAAGATTTTAAAGGACGATTTAACAAGTCTGCGTTGGTGCCATTTCAAAGGAACCGAAAACAGTGCCCCTGAGCGAGCTGTTCAGAACAGCTAGAGTAAAAGAGGTTACAAACAACGGGCAACCGCTACCTGAAATGTTTTTGTTGGCTTGGTGGTAGGAGTGTCAAGGTGCTGTGGAAAAAAGGGAAGAGAAGGAGAAACTGCTCAACGTTGTGTGGGGCCAAGAAAAACATTTACCACTCACTATGCCAAGTCACTCTCTGAAGTCATGGGGAGTGGATATGCAAGGTACCTGCTGAATTAAGTCCTCCAACTGCATAAATTAATCCCGCGATTGAAGTGCAGCATCGGGAACGGGTTTTGAATGCTGGGAGGTGGGGCCGACGCTCTGGCATTAGGTGATAGTCTTTTGCCTCGTCAACCAGGTCCCTAGAAATAAGATCAAACAGCAAGATGATAGTTTGGTGGGGCACAGGTTTTCTGTGAGGAAGACTGCCATTTTACCAGCCATCTCTGTTGAGACTACCACCGATTATAGCAACCTTTGAGTCTGTTCTTTCAGAAGATGGTAGGCTCTCTTGGCAGAACAGCATGGGGAAAGCTCTGTTCGGCTACCTGTGGCATTTTGGTCCACAGTGGCTGAACGGTAGTTTTTAGGACTAGTCATCTAACACCCCCTCTCAGCCCTGAAGCTACCACTACTTGCTGGCTGGTTCTTCGGTCACCTGCATGCACACACCTGCATTTATGGCAGCAGCGGACAAGGTCATCTTGTTGCACGCGGTCAGTGAGGAATTGAGGTCGACAAAGGGGCAGTCGGATTTTGGACAGCAGCTCAGGCAAGAAGGTTTCCCTCTGATCTCGGTCGTACCGTATCCAGGCCAATGCAGCTTCAAATACCTGTTAGAAGAGAGATGAGTGAGTTCTTCTCAAGGTTCTTGCTTTTGCTGTTGTCTTGTGGGGAGGAGGTCTTGTTTTCTTGCTTTTGAGGCAGCCGTCATGAGGATGGATGAAGGCAATTTAACCAGCTGTCAATAAATAAATGGTCTTTTGGGGGCAACCTGTAAGCAGGAGGTAGAAGCTCCTCAAGGAGTTCAGATCAATGAGCTCATCCTCTTTCTCCACTTATGGTCCACTAGGTCTCAACACCCAGGCCACAGAGCTTTTTCCTCCCCCATCCTCAGCCAATATCCTTTTGATTATGGACAACTGCAAAGCCCACTAAGGCTTCCTAATTCACTACAAGGGTCTGAAACAATACAAGATAGGGCATTTTTCCCTACAGCTTAGCTTTGGCAATTCTTCCCTCACTCTAAAATGGCCCTAGCAGGTTGACTTGCTGGATACTTAACCTGGATCATGGTGGCCATTGACACTGTACTTAAACCCAAATGAACTAAAACATGTAAAGACTCTGGCCCATTGTAATTATAGTGCTGCCATTGCAATCAAGAGGTTACACTGGCCTGAGGAGCAGGAGACAGGAATTAGAAGTGGGATCTTTTTGCCGAGCAGGGTTAACACCATAAAGGCAGGCTGCTTTAACCAGTTCAGCCTCTCCTGTCCCAGGTAGTGAGCTCTCTACCTTATTGCAAAGATTTTTCTGGTAAACTAGTGAGTGTGTCTGTGGTTGCCACTGCCACCTCGTGGTATAATCTTGCCACTGAACAGAGCACTAACCACGGTGCACACATTCACGCTGGGTGGTCCTGTACCACAGCTGGTGGCTATGGAGAAAATGTGAATAGTTGCCTACATCAGCAGAATGTTTTAAAAGCCTTTTCACTGACACTGGACAAAGCCAGAACCTCCCACTTCAGGCCTCTTGAGGCATTTCCTCCATGAAAAGCTCACGTTTCACCCCGTGGACAAATGAAGCAGAATGCTGTACCGCACAAGAATGCATTCATCTCTATAGCAGCCAGTAAGGCACAACAGTTAGAAGGGAAAACTTCACCAAAGCCACTTGGACAGAGACCTCCTCTCCTGGGAGCTGCGGGACTGCCTCAAATAGGACCTCTATAAAGAAATGTGAAAAAACACCAAAAACCACAATTCACCTGTCTTCGATGCAGAAATGGTCAAGTGAAACATGTCCAGAATATGGAGTTCCCCTGCAGTGGGTCATTTCAGACCTGCAACCAGGCCCAGCCTCTCTTTACATAGACACTTGTAGAAGTCTGACACTTCATCAGGAATAGCCCCATCGTGAGCTACCAAAAGCTGGCTTGGGCCTTGGCAGTGGGTGGGAGAACCAATCTGCTATATGTTACTAGCTGAAACCCAGACCAAAAATCAGTACAGTCAGAAGTTCAGGCTGTTTTAAACGGCTTTGATTCTTTCAGTTTAGCTCCTTAAGGAAATGGCTCCATGCTATGGAAGTCACCACTCTTAACTTACTCTCTCCTTGGCAGTAGGCTTATTATACAATTCTAAAAGGAACCAATTATTCACCCTCAGTGCTGCCAGAATGGAGCTGAAACATGCCAAAGCCTTTACAGCCATTACCTATGCTGTAGTTATTATAGGAATTACCTCCAGGGCCAGCTACCCAGTCTCTTTCACCTGAACCAAAAGTCAATGATTGAAACAGAGGTGCAGGGTTCAGGTCTTAGAGCTTATTCTCTGCTACTCAGCATTTCAATGCATGCCAGTGCAATAGCTTCTAAAAACTGCTGCCCATGGACCTTTTGTAGTTCTTCCAAACCAAGTGTTTTGGAAGCAAAAAGACACAGCAGTCAAGGGCTCCTTTCCAGGCAAAGCTGTTCCTGCTATACCATATGTCAGCTGCATAGGCCTACCTGCCCCTCTGACTTGACATTGAGCTCGTCCCTTGAAACCAGCTCCAGGACGTCTTCAAAAGGCAGCGTGAGGAACTCCTCGGACATGGACACCTCCACAAAGTGCTGGTGGATGAAGCTATTGGCAGAGTCGTAGAGCACCGCGCACATCATCGTTTCTGCAAACTGACGCACTCCCAGGCAGTTCTTTGGGTGAAGTCTGAGGGTCACAAAAAAACACCACCCATAACATTAATGGTGGGTTGAAGAGTTTACTGGTTTTAATGTGGTTCAAGGGAACAGTGGATGTGAAACTGAGCACGAACAGGATGAAACCAAAAGATATTCCTCACTGGGGCTGAGGGCAAAGGTGGGGCAGGTCTCTCATCTCACCTCACGAACATTAAAAAGAAATTTGTGCCAAATGAAGGGGACGGGGATCTCTGCGTATGAGCCAGGATAACAGTCAGCCCCATGATGGGCCCTCTCCGGTGTGTCCAAGGCTGACTTGAGCTAGAGACTTGACCTGCTCCCATCCCTAGCGGTGGTCCTAGCAATCAGCACAGTGATGCATTGGTAATCGGCACAGCAAGCATCGAGACTGAGGGTGCTCAACCTCAGCCCCTGCCATGGCCGAGGTCATGGCAGGACCCCTGGCACGGCTTTACGACCACTCGTGGTGCTCTGGAGTGGTGCCGGAG